TTAAGATGCCAAAACTATTTTATTGAACGAATCTCGTGTGCTTAAAATTTCCTGCTACTTTCTATTCTCAGATGTACTTAAAAACATAAACGAATCATGCATACATTGTTTTTAGACTGTATTTTCTGTGCTCAGCTTATTAGAAGATGGGGGGACGATGTTCACCTTCGAAGGAACAGAGAATAAAAGCTCTCTTAAAGTTTCTCTTAGAGTTCATAGTCCACAGTTTTACTGGAAGGTAATTGGAGTTCTTTTTTTTCCTCTCGTATAATTCATCAAGCCAATAAAAAAGAAAATTTCAAAGAATTCTACAATATGGATAAATTCGTTGACATAAACTAATCTCTTACAGGTTGCAACTCAAGGTGATTTAGGCCTTGCTGATGCTTTTATTCAAGGGGATTTCTCTTTTGTCGATAAGAATGAAGGTCTTCTTAATCTTTTCATGGTGAGGAAATGACTCTATTTCTATGTAAATAGCTATTTGTTGGTACTTGGCATCCTGAATTCTTTTACAGATTTTTGTTAACAACAGAGATTTGAAAGCATCAGTCACAAGATCTAGTAAGAAAAGGTAAGTAGTTTATAGAAACTGAAATCAAGAAATTGCTACTTATGTTCATACCTTAAAGCCCCACGGCGTGGATAACACTGGGTATGTTGTTGTTGTTGTTCATACCTTAAAAGTTTTTCGCTACTTCGTTCTCCAGAGGCTGGTGGACACCATTGCTTTTTACAGCTGCAGTGTCATCTGCAAAATATTTCATTCGACACGTTTCAAATCAAAACACCCTGACTCGAGCTCGTCGGAACATCTCTCGTCACTATGACCTGGTAATCAAGATCACTAATGAAATTGAAATTCTCAATGCATATGGGTTTTTGCCTGCTGTTTTCTTGTAACTTTCTCATCATAAATAGGCCTGTGGCTTCAAGTGTAAATTGATAAGTATATTTATTTCATTTTTTCCAGAGTAATGAACTCTTCTCGCTATTCCTAGATCAGACAATGACATACTCATGTGCAATTTTCAAGGTAAGACCTCAAATTTCAAATATTTGCAACGTCGCCTATATCTTATGCAAACTACATTTTTTGCTCCTTAATCTCATTCTTATGGTGATGTATTTTTCTTTTATACTTGTTCTAGAGTGAAGAGGAAGACTTGAAAGTTGCACAGGAGAGGAAAATTTCTCTTCTCATTGAAAAGGTAAGTCATCAACAAAGTAAATAATCCCTTATTTCGACATAATTTTCAAGCCTAACCTGATTCTGATTCTAATCTTTTTAGGCAAAAGTTAGCAAGGAACACCACATTCTAGAGATAGGATGTGGTTGGGGAAGTTTGGCCGTGGAAGTTGTTAAGCGAACAGGATGTAAATATACCGGTATCACTCTCTCTGAACAGCAACTGAAGTATGCACAGAAAAGAGTTCAGCAAGCAGGCCTTCAGGTACATAACTTAAAACAATTGTGGAAACTCAAGATGCACAGTTCTTTTGTGTTATTCTAAACTATTAAAAGATCGAAAACAAGCAAGGTCTAAAGTCAGGTTAGAGATGCTACATCATACAAGAACATGCTTTATATCTACTAAACACTTGAAGCCAATTTCGGAAAATTTTAATAAATACTAACTAAGTTCAATGAGAACGGGAGCCTTGGAGCAACGGTTAAGTTGTCTCCGTGAGACCTATAGGTCACGGGTTCAAGCCGTGGAATCAGCCATTGATGCTTGCATTAGGGTAGGCTGCCTACATCACACCCCCTTGGGGTGCGACCCTTCCCCAGACCCTGCGTGAACGCGAGATGTTTTGTACACCGGGCTACCCTTTTTTACTAACTAAGTTCAAAGAAATGTATTCACAGGATCACATAATATTTCTCCTATGTGACTATCGCCAATTGCCAAATATGTCGAGATATGACAGGATTATATCATGGTAAATGTTTGCCTACAACAATTAGTTCATTTCCTATCCCTCATTACCATGCAGTGTGATAACAGTACTAATGATCATTTTCAGTGAGATGTTAGAAGCTGTTGGTCATGAGTTTATGGAGGAATTCTTTACTTGCAGTGAATCTGCATTGGCAGAAGATGGCCTTCTTGTTTTGCAGGTAATCAATTAAAATGACTCTCAACACATTCCACTATATTCACCTTTTCCCTTTGATTTTTTTATGCTGCTTTTTGACAAGTGTTTGCTTTCCTTAGTTCATTTCAATACCAGACGAGAGGTATGACGAATACAGGCAGAGCTCGGACTTCATAAAAGAATATATATTCCCAGGTGGATGCTTGCCTTCACTAAGTCGAGTAACATCAGCTATGGCTGCTGCATCCAGACTATGGTAACAACGATTCATTGTCATTTTGCACATGACATGCTGTCTCTTATTAAAAATCATCTTGTTTTTAATCATTTGAAAAATGTTGTAATGCAGTGTAGAGCACCTAGAAGATATAGGAATTCATTACTATCAGACACTGAGATGCTGGCGGAAGAACTTCCTGCAAAAACAAAGGTAAGTAAACCAAGATCAGTTATATATTGTGTTCAACCTATTTCTTTCATGTATCATTTGTAGCTTGTTCAAAAGTAAGAGATCATTTCTAGACTCTGATACTTGAGCATCAATAACTGTGTAACTAGCCAAATTCATGCTTTGGGATTCGACGACAAGTTCATCAGGACATGGGAGTATTACTTTGACTACTGTGCTGCTGGATTCAAAACGTGCACACTAGGAGATTATCAGGTATGGTGAGAATTCTTTGAATAAAAGGGCAAAGAGTGCATAATGTATATGTGTTTGTCGGACCAAGTATCAATAGAGCTAGGGTAGAGGGAGCTGTAATGGAAAATCACTTCCTTCACATATGGATATGAGTTATTTTTCCCTATTTGATGTTAATTTACGAGGCTCAAACACCGCGAAGTGGTCTAAAACATATTAGTTCTAATCAAATGGACCTTGATCTTCACTTTAGTAGATAGTTCCCATGCGGCCATGCTACTATTCTGTATAAGAATATAAGATCAAGTGACTACAACAACAACAACAATAAGCCCAACGTAATCCCACAAGTAGGGTTAGGGAAGGGTAGTCTGTATGCAGAACTTACCCCCACCTTGATAGTAGAAAGGCTGTTTCCGATAGATTCTCGACCTAAAATCAAGTGAGTATGAAATAATAATAAGGATACGGACTCTAACTACACATCCCAACAAAGAAAAGTTAGCTAAGAGCTTACTCTAACCAGTAAACATGATATTTATTCTCCTCCTTTACCAGAAATCTTGAAATTGCTTAACAAAGTTGTGAAGTAAAACTACTCAAGGTTGCTCCACTTTTGTAGATTGTATTCTCAAGGCCAGGAAATGTTGCAGCATTTGGTGATCCTTACCATGGTGTACCTTCAACTTATTAGCATTTCTTCGTTTTCAAGATTGATTGTTTGTTGCCAAAGAGAAGAGTTTATTGTTTAGGTCCTACTCTGGGCTGTTTTTCTTATCCATTATTGTAGATTAAGAACCTCCTTTTGGAGATAGTTTACTTCCTTTTTCACTGCAAGAAAAAACTAATCAAGCCATGATACAAGTGTCATTGGCTAATTCTTTCTGTAATTCTCTCATATTGTATTTTTGTTAAACTTGAATAAATCATTCTTCTATGTGGCTCTAATTGCTTGCAAGTTGCAAGTTATTGAGAAATTTTCAATTGCCAATTCAAATAATTTATTTTAGCTTACCCAATTTGGTAATTACAATATTTAGGAAAATTACACGCTTCACGCAAATCACACTGGAAAATTATGGTACATGATCCTTGTCCTACAGTTCAAGTTGTTATCACTAGAATGTAGGGAAGGAAAGTTTTGGGATTATTGCAATTTTAGAATATCAATATTCTGATGTTAAGGAAAGAAACTACGGTATCATTTGGTTTCCTGGGTAGAAGAAAAATGTGCAAGAAATTCTCCTATACCTTTTTTTTATTTTATTTTATTTTTTGCATCTTTTCGGAGTTTGATTGAAGGGAGGCATTGGCGCAAGTCGCAACTTGTAAAGTTACTACCATGTGATCAGGAGGTTACGCTTCGAACGTGAAAAAATTCTCTTGCAAAAATGCAGGGTAACTCTGTACTATACTACTATGTACCCTTGTGATCCGGTCATTCTCCGGATCCCGCATGTAGCGAGAACTTAGTACACCGGGCTGCTCTTTTCAAAGTTTGATTAGTCGGAAAATTGTGGGAAAACATTTGCTTATTTAAGCTTTTCTTTTCCTTTCAAACAAACGAAAGCAGAAAGTGACCCTTTTTCATCCTTTACTTTATCTTACTGCAATTCTCTTTGGAAATAATTTTTCAGAGAGGTTCTCCCTTCAAAAAAGGTACTTACAGAAGGTTACTTAACATACAAACGAAACACAGGAAAATACTAGGTGCATTTGATCCTCTCAGGTTCTCCAGGTGCACTTGAGGGCACGCAACTGGACACTATATCGCTCTAGAAGGGGCAACCCCATGCACAAGACATCATGTATTCAAGCAAGGTCCGTAGAAAAAATGCACCTTTTAAAATAGCACGGGCTAGCTAGTTTTCGGATTAGTAATTGAAAAATAACCAATGTTTGCAAAGTCATTAAAAATAGCCACTATTTTGTGCAACACGAAAAGTTCCAGCGTAATATACCGAAGATTGATGCACCTGTATATGAACTTCCAACATATTATGCTGGACCAGTATATTATATTGGAAGTCCAGTATATAGTACTGGAACTCCATTATATTATGCTGGAATATTTTTCGAATTTTGAACAGTGTTTTCGTTCAGATTTATTTTTACACTAGTCCCTAGACATGTGCGTTGCACGTGTATCCCATAGTAATAAGTACAAACGTTTTAAAATGATATAAATAATATTAAAATATATGTACGATAAGGAAATACATGCTCTGCCTTAATTGATTATTGAATATAACAGGATTTGATATTATTTAAACAACAAATATAGCTATATAAATATGATTGTCATACCAAATATTCAATTTGATATTTTCATTGCCTCTTTATATTTGGACAACATGTAGTTTACATTTGAATATGAGCAACGTCGACTATAGTTGTGGATACTTCACATCTAGAAGTTCCTGCTTTGTCTTTAAGAAATTGAATCCTTCTTAGTTTTACAGTCGCATACATATCAAGAAGCTGTTGTCAGGTGAAAGTTGTAACTTGTAGAAGTTGTATAGAAATTCGATCAACATAGGTCTTCCTTAGGGTGGCTAGTAAATCATAATTCATTTCATGGTGTAAAGCTGCAAAAAAAAAAATAGCTATTTGTAATAGAGATATTTAATAATTACTAATATCAAAAAGTTTTATTGATATCATTGTTGCACGTACAAGAACCCTTTACTTGATTCAAGATTATGACTCCTTTCATCTGTGAATTTGACAAAAGAATTGAATTATATAATTTATAATTGTATAAATATAGCACGACAATCATATTTCAAATTTAACATTCATTAAGCACCATGTAATCTAATACTTTATCTATTCTTAAACTCACATAGTAAAAAAAAAATGAGTTAAAATAGACCAAATAATAAGTGGCATAATACACTTTTTTAATTGGGTAGCTTAGTCACTAATCAAGATGAATCAATAACTATTTTGTACATGAATTCTTGATAAAGAAAAACAAAAAAGATTACTTCAAAATTTTTAAGTGAAATATGCCACTGAAGGAAGCAGACAAAACATGGGGAAAATCATTTAAAAAACAAGAAATAATGAAGAAAAAAGAAAGAAAAGGAAGCCAAAATATTAATTAGCTAAACTATTCTATTAATCCTCAAATAATCAGGTCATCTAGGCTCTAGGCAAAGTATAATTGTTTAGCAAAAGGATGAAGACACTTGGCAAATATGACTGCCAAAAAATCAACATCACTTCGTCCCAAGAGTGTGAAAAGAAAATAAGTATAAAAATGTGCATAAAGAATAATATATTGTGTAATACTCATAGGAAGTGACAATAGGGGAAAATAAACTTGCCTGTTAAATTTACAATTTTAATGTGTTCCACTACTGTTTCAGCTTTAGGGAAAAAGAAGAAATGGTATCTGCAAGATCAAATATTATTATTCTTCTCAAAAAGAATGTTCTCAAATCTAATATGTTTCAAAGAAGCTATTGATTCTTGTGGTTTGATTGAAAAAGCGACCAACTTCAGCTAGCAACATATATGAATATCTTAATAATGTTTTAAGATAATGACAAAGTATAAAATTGTTACCAATTTTGTGATGTAGTAACCAAGAAATCAGTTAAAAGGATTAAAACACAAACTAAGTCTTAGGAACACAGAAAAGCTTAGTAACGTAAAGTCCACTTTCATGGATGTCATGAGTCAAAAATTTGGCATTGATAAACATTCAGCGCATTGTACAAAAAGTAAATAAATTAAATTGTTGAGAAGGAGAATAATTAGCTTGCATCAACAACAAAGTAAGCAAGGAAATCTTTAGCAAATACGGATTCAACTAAACATTATCTGATTATATTATTCACTCATCAAACATTTTTATACTTAATGTTACTTCTTTTTAGCTTATGAAACAAAGGTAGAATCCACAGTATCTACTTCCCTGTAAAGTATTAGATGCAGAAGTAAGCCCCAAACTCACAATTTGAAGTTCCTTTCTTACCGGTGAAGATGAAAAGTAATTATTAAAAGTTAAAAGCACAAAGTGAAATCGCTGCTTTGGAACCTTAAGGATGTTCTTGTGGTTTGATTGGAAAAGCGAACAACTTTAGCTGACAACATATGTGAATATCTTAATAAAGTTCAAACGTAATTACCAAAAACCTATTAGAAGGATAATAACATCAAAATTAAGTTTAATGTAGATAAGGAATTTAACGCTCATACTAAATAATAAGGCATTAGAATTAAGACAAACAAATCATTTGATGTATTTTCTAAATGGAGTGATTGCTTTAAGGCTATATGGAACGTAATAAGAATTTTGTTGTGACAATACCAAATAATTTGCAACAAACATTTTATGCGCTAAGTACTACAATGTTAAATTAGCTATGATCCAAAAAGTACTTAAGGGAAGTCTACACTTGCAACACAAGATAATTGCATATAACATTGACAATATTAATGCTAAATAATTCGCAACAAACATATTCTGCGCTAAGTATGACAGCAATCAGTTAGCTATGATCCAAAAAGGACCTAGCAAAGTCTACAATTGCATCATAAGCTAGTTGAATATAACATGACAATATTCACACTAATACTATGTTTAACTTTACAACTTTTAAAGAAATCACATAATCAAGAATAACAGGTTGCTAACTATGATCCAAAAAGGACGGAAGAGAAGTCAATATTTCCACCATAAAATAATTGAAACATATATACCTGTTTACAAATACTGGTGAGTGAAGTATACTCTTTTGGGAAAAAAGAAATTTCTTGCCGTAAGAATTTACAAAGGATAATGGAACAAAGACATCTTATTGTACACTTATATAGAGTACGGTGAAGAATGTGAAAAGATTGTGAAAAGAAGTTACTAATGTTGAATATGAAAAATGGAAACAATCAGAATTAACTAAGGAAATTTACATTGTCATAAATAAAGAATTTAAAAAGCTTGTAAAAGGACGTTAACATGGTAGATGCAAGAAACAAAATATAAAAGCTCTTGGGAATTAAGAATTCAAGAAAATGAAGAAGAGGGAGAAACGTTTTCCTTGAGAGTTATGATGAAGCAATTAAAAGAAAACGTTTCTGGGAAGGAGAATATAAATGGTCTCAAACCTATTGAATACATTAAATTGATTTGATGAAGTATTAAAGTACTACAACATCAGCGGCTTATATCTAATGTAATTTAAATATTATTTAATTAAAGCTTCTTCTTTTTTCAAGGAAAAAATTGTAACTCATATTTTGAAAGATATTATCGTAATTCAGTCAACCCGCCTATTCTGATTCACTTTACCCAATAAAGGGCTATGCAAAATAGGGATTGCTGCTTTCACTGCGCTACCTTCCTAAGCCCTTACTCCTTTTCCTTTTGCACCTGTCTTGTCGAAGTCTCCTTTCAGAGTGTGATTCGTCGTTTCCAATGCGGTTAATTGCTATTAGGCTTTTTAGGAAAGTTCCCCTCTGCCTATGCAGTTAGCTCGACTCCAGGTATAGCTCTTAATGGGCATGTAGTCGTAGGCGGGAACTCTTCTTTTTATCTTATTCTTTGGTCAGGCTGGTAATCCCAACCAAATAAGCAATCGCAATCGCTATAAGCAACCTATTTCATACCCTTTTCGTTGTACTTCCTCTTCTCCTTCTCTTCTTTCTCTCCCTGCCGAGAAAGGTAGGAGCTTCCTACTTTTAGTATAATATGATATGATAAAAAGTAACTAAATTTCAATCTTTTGAAATTGTGGCTATTTTTCAATTACCACTTGTAAATCTGACTATTTTTGAATTTCACACCTCGCCCCTCCCCCCAAAAGATGTGATATAGACAAACCTATACTAGCGCAAGCACTAGCAGCTGCTGCCACAGTTCAAACCCGTGACCTACAAATCACACGGAAATAAATTTATCGTTGCTCCAAGGTTCCCCTTTTTCGGACTTCAAGTTCAAAAAGAAAATTGCCTGAAGACAACCTTCAAAATTTTCAAAAGCTGGTTAACACTACACGCAATATCGTACTTATCCAATTTTTCACTATAAAAGAACGAAACCCTGGCTTTTGGATGAAAAAGTCTTGCTTTTAACACGAAGATTGTGTCTACATTTGCTACTGTAAGGCTAAACGGCAAATCCGAACCAATCATGCTGCACAATTAGCCTTCTAAAACTTTATGTGCTCAAGGACCTCACCCTCTCACAACAGCTTAGTTCATTGATTCAATTATAGACTCAATTCATTACTTCATTTCCAGAGCTGACACCAAGAACAAAGACATGTTTGGAAGGAAAGGAAATTGCACAGGCAAAAGAAAATACAAAGACAGTTTTCACCGCAAATACCAAAAAAAAATGCAGTAACTCTCTTTTTTATTAGTAGCTAGGAGAAAGCAACTTTTTTGCTTTCCATTCTCTTCCCCTTCTTCCAACCAACTCAAACCGTTCCCTTCCCTGCTTTCCGAACATGTGATGAGTAAAATGAAAGTAAACAAGTAACAAAATCCTAGAGGTACTAAATAATCATCCCCAAAACTTTTGCACCTCAGACATTCATAAACACAAAACTAAATGGGGCAAAGCCACTAGTATTTCCTTTTTTTCCCCCATTTTTGATAAGAAGCAACACCAGTAGGTAATGTTAGTTGGGTGTTCAGGGAAAGGGAAGAGAGAAATAGCGGATGATTTGTTCTAAGTAAAAGAATATCAACATGTGGCCACAAATGCTAGTAATCTAGTATGAAACAAGATATGATGGACGCACACCCAGATAGTGTCAACTCTCACCCACATAGACAGTAGAGGGAAACATGAACCTACCTCAACCTAAGAAAAGCAATTAGCTCCTTCAAAGGCCAATCCGGGAGCAAAATTATCACATAATTTGAAAAAGGAATATGCTCTTAACAACACAAGGCAATCTCCAGTATAAAAAGCTCAACTAACTAGCTACATCCTTCAACCACTATCACATTCTAATTTGATGTAACAAGGAATATACTACTAAGCTACCCTACTGATATATGAAAACTCATCAATGTGAGAAGCATGGAAGATGGAAAGTCAGAACATCTTACACTACTGATCCTACTTACCAGTATATAAAGCTCAACTAACGACAATTCACAGGCTGAATTCTAATTCTACGAGGCATACACTACTAATTACCCTACTAATATAAGATGATGGATAAACACGAGAAGTAATGGTGGAAACTGGTAAGCGAAATCATCTACCACTAGTGGCCTAAACCATGCTAATTTCTAACAACCATCTTCAGAAAGAAACCATTTAATTGACAAAAATTGTTCTGCAAGTTAATTGTCAAGTACCTAATCAAATTATTGAGAAAGCCTAACTCTCCAATTCCAAAAGAGCCAATACGACGCTCAAAATCAGCTGGATGCAACATATACCATGTGGATGGCTGTTAGTCTTCACCCTGCACAAATTACACAACTCAACAGCGCCTGCTTGGCCTTGGTCTGCCTCACCATGACAAGTTTCAGGACAATACCACATCAAACAAGCCAAACCCACGAGTACGGTACCTTTCTTCACTAAACAACATCTCCAGCACCCAGGTCGTACTTTTCTCCGAGTGGACTGTTCATCACATTCAGTGTTCAGGCCTCTCCTCCTGTACAACACAAGGTCAAATACAGGGGGAAATGATTATGCCATTCTCAAAAGTCAACTACCGCTAACATTATCGCTAGCCATTACGTACTGATCTACCAAGTCTGCTACAACTGCTCTCCTATGAGTAAGTAGCACCACCATATCTCATGGTCCAACTACATCAGGCAAAGAAAAATAGAAAGCGTTCTATTTTTCTTATTAACTGTTTCTTTTAAATGATATGTAAAATAGCATCATACCATCCTGCTTCAGAAGGCAAAGGGTTAAAGCCACACTTTAAATATTAACTCCACAGCCCATGGCTCAATCAAAAGGTAAACTCACGCAAGTTTAACAAAGCAAATATATATGTGCACTGCGAAAACAAATGAACCACATTAACTAATAAACATAACCATAAGCAAGCCAGATTAAGAATGCACTTAACAACAATAACAGAAATAGGTAATACTAGTGACAATACTAGTTATTATAAACTAGAAAATAAGTACTGCAAACTACTAGGGGATTCAAGCAATCCAACCGGTCTCGTTTAGCAGGTGACATCTCGCAAGAGCAGCACTCTGCATGTGAAACGCAAAAGTGACGCAAAAACTCTCCAGTAAAAGGTGAAGTCTGAGACAAAAAAGAATCATCTCATTCACTGCTGTTGGGCTTGCCGACTGGGGGCACCTCCATATCCACCACCATATCCAGCTTGGCCACCATGAGCTCCGTTTGGTGGAGCACCATAATTACCGGAACCCTGCGAGTTATCAGACCTCCATGCTGCATTCCCATAGCTAGAGTTTCCACTGGCATCACCATAGCCACCGCTCATGTAACCCCCAGCACCTGATTGCATGTCTCCTGTAGCACCACCTCCAACAGGTGAATTACCACTTGGAGCACCACTGGCACGTCCAACAGCGCCATAACCAGATGGATTTCCATAAGCACCATCATTTCCAGCATAACCGCCATAACCATAACCTTGATTCCCATATCCAGTGGTACCAGTTGGAGATTGACCAGATCCTCCACTAGCAGGCCCACCGCCACCACCAGCATTTGAAGCACCCCAAGGAGCATTACCATAGCCCACATTCCCATATCCAGAAGGAGCCTGAGAACCCCATGTGCTTCTTGGTCCACCCGCAGGACCACTTCCATAACCAGTACTGGGCGCATTTGGATTTCCATAGGCAGCAACTGCAGCAGCACCATAGCCAGGATTGGCACTGCCATAGCCAGGATTGGCTCCACCATAACTTCCATAACCACCATAGCCCATACCATTGTTGGATGGTCCATAACCATAACCTGGGGTACCATATCCAGATGAACCATATGGATAGCCACCTCCAGCATTTTGAGACTGCATGTACCTGTTGGAATCCATTCTGCTGTCATAAGAACTAGGATTGTTACCTGATGCACCATATCCCTGATAACTTCCGCCACCCATACCACTACCGCCTCCGCCGCCCATGGAACGGCCACCAGCACCAGGATTAGCATCTTTAGGAAGAGCACGCTTCACTTCTACCTGCTTTCCATTCAGATCATGAAAGGTCTTCTGTAAAACTCTATCTACTGCATCTTCAGAATCAAATGAAATGAAGCCAAACCCACGAGGTCGGTTGGTCTGCTGGTCATACATAATTACTACATCAGTGACACTACCAAAAGCTTCAAAATATTGCCTAAATCCATCCTCGGCCAAAGTGGGAGGCAATCCCCCAACAAAAATTTTCTTGGTCCTGGTATTTCCACCACCTCCAAAATTTCTGGCACTATTCGCATTTCCAGATTTTGAACCCTGCTGCTCCTCTCTCGACAAGGCCCTCTTAGCATCAACCTATACAACAAATATGCCAGGTAAACCAACAATAAAGGTTTACATGAAAAACAACCCCTCTCGAAAGATCAACAAGAAATATCTTACAGCAATCAGGTTAGCACTCAATAAAGCATACAATATGAGTCATAGTTGTATGACATAGAAATACTTTACAGAACCTTGTGAGATCTTGATAGGGTGAAATGAAAGCAACAAAAGATCTAAAACAACCAACACACGTGACATTTTTTTTTGAAAATCTTGAAAACACCACAAACAATAAATCTCAAAGACAAGAATCAATGAAATGCAGTTATGCAGAAGCCAAATTAGCATAAAAGAACCACAAGTGAAGCAGTTAAATAAAAGTCCAAAAAAAAGTAAACATCTACAAATCTAAGGANAGGAAGCAGAGAAATACCTGCCATTAAATAAAATCCTATCTTGAAGAACACTATCAAGCCTAAACTAAAACCCCACAAACAATTAATCTCACAGAAAACACAAATGAAGCAGACAAAATAAAGGCCCAAAAGAGTACTTAAATGTCTATAAATCTAAGGGGAAAAAACCTCCATCAATAAAAAGTCTATCTTG